TTCATTCATGTGTATTTGTTTCTGGGGAGCAAGTCAAGATCTGGTTACTTCTTATCCTTCAAATAAGTTTCCATTATCTTACTGCTACCTAACTACAGAGTGGAGTAAAGGATAATTTGAGTTTCATATACCCATTTGTCTCTCTGGGTTCAGTTCTAAAATGTTTTTCAGAATCATTCACTATCATTAGCTTTCCAGAAATGACAATTTGAAGGGCAGCTCTCATTTTCTTATGTGAGTTCTTGTGTGCTTGTTAAAAACCCATCCAGGGGGACTTGAAGTAGATGGTGGTTGTGTGACTTCAACTTTTTCAGTCTCTTTTTCCTTTGCCATTTTCATCTTATTTATTGAAATAGTTACAGAGAAAGAGACAGGGCCACTAGACAGCAAGATCTCAAATCCACAGACAATGTTTATAACACAAATAGGTGATAAGATATTCTGAAAATTAAAATTGGGTGTCACTAAGTGACCACCAGCAGATACTCCGCGGAAAACACCAAGGTCTGATTCTAGAGCAGAGCTCCACCTGGGAGAGCCTTGCCTAGAGCCCAAGGTATGAAGGTGTGTAATTCTGATTTGAGAGGTGCTCTGGCCCTCTGAGTTCTCAGACCTAATGTACTAAGGCTTTTCTGTAGAAAAAGGACTTTTCCCATGTAAGGGATTAACTGTTAGGAATAGAACCAGCATTAAGCAGCTCAGAGCAAAGAACTGAAAGGAAGAAGTCTGGCCCTAAGGGTGTGCTGGGTGAGGAGTGAGGGTTAGGAAGCAAGACCAAGAAGGCTAATGGTTGAGTGCTGCTACAGACAAGATGTCTATGTTCCCTCTCCCCCCAAGTCATATGTTGAAACCTAATCCTCAAAGTGGTGTCCCAGCCAAAGATCAGACAATTAGAGCTTCAATAATGATAAAATTTCTATAGATTGAAACCCATCAGAGATGTTAAAATCTGAGTTCACAGTGGTATTTAACAAACAAACAAATAAAAAAGAAAGAGATTGGTTATCTTTGAAGGATGATAGGAAACCAGTTCAATAATGAAAATTGGTCAATAAAAGAAATACAGTTAAACATTTATCCTGCCTTTCTAAATGAACTGTATCATTGAGTAGCTAAATAGTAGATGTAGGAATGTTTTTCCATAAAAGCATTTCAACTAATAAATGAAAAATGAATGATAGCATCACCATTTTGTAACCCCCAGTGAATGGATATAGTTGCATTCCTCATGAGAACCTGCCAGAATAACAAAAGAGAGATGACCTCAGGTAATCTGGCCAAATACCACCAGTCTTACCAGAAGATCAAACCTGACTCTGATGCATTCTCTGGATCTAGCTGGTAATTTTCAAGATAGCTAGAGGACAGAGGGACATGATGAATTGCAACAAAAATGCACACTTTTCCAAAATTGAGAGTCTGGAAAACTGTATATGTCAACTTGCCTGGGTTTTCCAACAGGCAAATTTTTAAAAAATGGCAGGTGTAGAGGAGGAGACTATGGATTGAAAACAATAATTATTCAGTACTGGACTTTTTAATATGCACAAGAATAAACCATAATATTTAGGGATAGAAGGTGGAGTGATAAAACTACTTTCAAAATATAAATAAGTTATTTATAACATAAAAATGAGCATAATGTTTATTATGGAGAGGGAAAGGGAGTTGCGAATGGAAAAGGCTTCTAGAATATTCAACAGAACTCCATTAGCTGAATCAGACTGTATTGTCACATGATAATTCATGAAGCCATAACTTGTTGTGTTTGTCTCTATTTTACAATAATAAAGATTAAAAAATATATCAGTCTAGTCTCCAAAATTTTAAGAGTGGTTATCTTTGGGTGACTGAAAGCCAGTTTACAGTTTCCTTCCTTCCCTCCCTCCTTCCTTCCTTCCTTCCTTCCTTCCTTCCTTCCTTCCTTCCTTCCTTCCTTCTTTTTACTCCCTTATTTATATTTTCTTTCTAATGGTAGTTGCATTAAACATTTGATACAATTTAAATCTATAAAATGTCATTTCAATGTAAATTTCTAAAAGATCAACCAATGGCATCTTAGCACTGCTTTGTTTAAAATGAAGAGAGATTTCAGAATGTAATAACAGATATTTTTGTCAAGGGCTATGGCTTCTTTCTCCTACAAAACTTCAAATGGTTCCATTTTTCTAGTAGTGACCTAGTGCTGATGTGATGAAAAGGCCCATGTTTGCCATAACAGCTTTCTCTTTAGTGAACTTGACCGCAGTTCTTGAAGGCTTAATGTTAGTTTCTTTTCAGGTCAAATAACTGATAATAATGTCTTTACAAGTCATGGCAGTTAGATGAGATTGAAAGAAAATTAATTATGAGGTCCAAGGTTCTATGTTAGCATGTTACTACCCTCATTTGTAATGGGATCTGCAAAATCTTTTTTTGTCCTTACGGCAGTAAACAAAAACCCAATCTGTCATGAAGTGCATGTGTCATTTAAGATGTTGGATAATTTGGACAGTAATGAGTGTTCCTTTCCATTTCATCTCCATATTATGATAGGGCTCCCTATTATAGTAAGCCATAATAGGGAGATGAAATGGAAAGTTATAGCATAGTAAGAGTTATTTGCTTTTTAAAAACAAAGTGTCATGTCTATACTGTGAAGATAGAGTTCAATTTGACTATATTTATTATGTTAGTACGTGGTCCTCTTTCTTCTTCTTTTCTTTTTTAATCAAACCACTGTACTATAATTTAGAGAAATAGTAGTAACTGTCATTAGATAGCAAATTAGACCAAATATGTATAAATATTTTAACATTTTTTGATGAAAAAGTGGGCTTAATTCATTTTCTTGGCTCTATCCCAACAGAAGAATTACATTCTGCTACCCTGAATCTAATCCCTAGTTTCTGTGGGATGAATAACATTTCATATTTTTTTAATATTGCATGAGGTTTATGGCACTAGTGAATTAATGCCCTAAGATTACAGCTTTGGGTGAGAGGTTTTTTTCCCCCTCAATATGAAAATCATTGAGGAAATAAAAATGTTCTTTTTCTGTGTGAATATGCACTAATTTTTAATGCAAATGTATACATTATTAAAAACAATTGAATTCAGTCTCTGTTATAACTTTCTGAGAAGGTACGTGGTTGGTTGGTTGTGGTGATGGTAGGAGGGTTAGAAAGGAGGTTTTTTTTGTTTGTTTGTTGGTTGGTTTCCCATGGTCTTCCATATGTTGAATATATTTACTAAACAATATATTATGTGGGATTAGACTTGTGTTTTGGGGTGATTTGTAATTTTTTCCTAAGCATAAGTCCATGTAGGAACCCAGATATAAATAAACTGGAACATTATGCTCAGTGAGAGAAGCCAGTCATAAAAGACCATGTATCATATGAATCCATTTCTGTGAAGTGTCCAGAATAGACAAATTCATAGAGACAGATAATAGATTAGAGCTTGCCAGGCTTGGGCGATGGATAGTAGGTATGGAGTTTCTATGGGGGGTAATGAAATATTATGTACTTAAATAGTGGTGATAGCTGTTCAGCTCTGAATACACTAATAACCACAAAATTGTACAATATGTGCTGCCTCGTTTAAGGCATACTGGATAAAGAACTTGGTGTCTTGACCACTGGCCTTTTCTCCTGCCCACCCAGCTCAGGGTGGAAATTGGAGACCCAGATGTACTTGAAAACCACTAGCCTAGGAGATCGAAACCTTTCCATTGCCAGGCTTGGAGACAGTCCAAGTAAAAGCTGGAGTACATTACTTCATCAAGTATTTCTCTGTATATTAGCAATGTGCTAAGAGCAGATATAGAAATAATTGGGCCACAAATGCTTATCCTAACACAAGGTTCTTCTTTTGGCATTTCTATTATGAAAAGCTTCTTCCCTTACCCATTTTTACAAGACATTCAGAAGCAGTCTATCTATAAACTAAATTATTGTGGTACCTACTATAAAAGCTATGAGTGTCCTCTGCAGTTGAGGGTATATGTTTTCAGTTTTATGCTCAGTCCCAGATAATCATTCTCTGCATTTCCTTCTTGACTCCCAACTTTATTCTCTCTCCTATTCTGCTTGATAAAATCTGAATATCCACAGACCACCATCTCTTATAGCAACCCATTTTCCTACACAAAGTTGCCTTGATTTCTTTTTTAATTTGTTTTTTTCTGCGTGTCTATTAGATGTCTGAGATGGTTTGTATCCATATAACTTCAGATCCTTATAGTTCATTTTCAGTTAGTCAGAAAATGTTTTGACATTATAAATCTGGAGTCAAGGCCTAATGATTGTGCAGGTCTGTCCTTGCTGGGAGTTATTTGTTTTAATAATGTGAAAATTGATGATGAATTTTAGTTCATAACTGGCTTTGGGATTATTCATGCCTAAGTTCTTTGCAAGCCTAGAGTAGAATCAAAAGTTTCCCTCAGTCTTTATTAGAAGCAAACATATTTAGATGGAAAGGGAGTATCCTAAAAAGTAGCACAGCTATGTAAATGTCAACTGATTAGTTGTTTTAAAATATAGCTATATTTTAAAATTTTTCTTTTCAAAACAAGTTTGTATGAGTCCTGGGCAATACTTGTTGTGAAATAAAAGACAGATTGTGGGCAGGGAGCACACAGCAGAGTAAATAAATAACATTTATCACTCAGTTTATGTTACTAGTCATCATCACTACTTTTTAAACATCAAATCATTTTAGCAATAGAAATTAAGCAATAATATTTCTAAAACTAATTTAACTTTTTGATTCAAGTCATAAAATATTGGAGAAATGTCTAGTTTTGGTTTATTTTCAAGAGAAAATTTAAAACATCAATCACTGGATACATTTAGTGAATGCCAGTTGCCATGTATTTCATAATATCATGTATAATTCCAGAAATTCATAAAACTAGCAAATGGTTAGTATTAAATTGCATCAGTTTACTCTAATTTCATTGTAGAGAATAATCTCCTTTGATTTTCATGAGAAATGTAATTTTTTCAATCTCATAGACAACATCTGGGGAAGATGTTCGAGACTTCACAAAGGTGCTAAAGAACAAGTTCAGGTCAAAGAAATACTTTGCTAAACATCCTCGGCTTGGCTACCTGCCTGTTCAGACGGTTCTTGAAGGTGACAACTTGGAGACGTAAGTTCCATTTTTAATTAAATATTCTATGAACATTTACACCTTATGTGTTGTTGTTTTTTTTTTTTTTTTTTTTAAATGTTAGTAGCACATGAGAAATTAAAACCAAAAAGATTTGTGTTTCTGTCTTGAGAGGTAAATTCCTTGGAATCAGTCTTTACAGTTATGAATCTTAGTTATTTACATTTGACAGTGTTGCAGCTTAAACACATTAATCTTGTATGTGTTTCCAAACTGGTGACCTCTTTTCTTGAGCATCTCTTTTCCTTTTAAAAGTACTTAAATAAAATTTTAATATTAGTGCTTTCTCATCCCCTTTCCCGTTTAGAGTTGTTTTTACAATGTCTCATAGTGCATTTTAATCTTTTTAATAGAAATTTATTAATCATACTCAATCTCTTGCTTCACAAACTCATCTATGCTAAAAATCTTATCGAAATCTCATTACCTTTCTTATCTCTTTTCTGTTAAAGATGAAGGCAGCAAAATGAAACAGCTTTATGTAGTACATGCAATAGAAAATTTCAAAGTATATATTAATTTTTTAAAAGTATATATTTTGAGTTGACGACCATAAATAAAATTCTAAAATACCATAATTGCTATGGGATTTATAAAGCTAAGTAAAATAAAAATGTATAGCTAGAATGGAAAAGGAAAAAAAAAAAAACGGCTTTAAATGAGCTAGAAGAAATGCAAGGAAGTAATTTTATGTTGCTAAACAATTGTATATGAAGATCAAAATTGAAAAAAAATTTAAGTCTTTGAATCACTTTAAGACAATGTAAAAATGCTTGCCAAGGCCATGCTTTTGTGGTTGCATCCGGGGAAATGAACTTGTATTGCTAATCATCACCAGAGTGGCTTGTCATACTTCATTTTATTTTGAATATGAGAGATAATCAGAGAATCGTAGTAGTCCAATGTGTTCTGACAGTCAGTGTCTCAAAAATGTCCACAATAGAACAGGTGACTTGGTCTGATATTTTTTTCTTTTATCCCCACGGTAGCCTGGTAGAACAGGAGCTTTTCTGAATTTCTGAGCACATGAATCTTTCTTTCATATATAGAAAGGTCCATATAACACATGTACATATAGAGTATAAGAAAGAATTCAAACTTTTTGATAATTCTGCTTGATAACAAACTGTGTACAGTTCAGGTATGTGACATTCCTAATTGTTTTTTCCACTGTTCACATTAGAACAAATTTTATGAGATCAATGTTAGTTTAAGGAGAGCTATTTAACTAGCAGCTTGCGGGGCTGAGGCAGGAGGATTGTAAGTTCAAAGCCAGCCTCAGCAACTTAGCAAGGCCATAAGCAACTTAGCAAGACCCTGTCTCAAAAGAAGAAGAAAAAAAATTGCTGGGGATGTGGCTCTGGTTAAGCCTCCTGGGTTCAATTTTTCATAGGGGGGGGGGGGGGGAAGCTATTTACATATATTCAGCAAATGTCTATTTCTGCTCTGCTCTTTTGTTTGTGGGTATGGTTTTCCCTTTTTGTTTAATAATTCTAGTAAAATAATTCTGCTAACATTATTCTTCTAATAAGTCTGTTAATAATTCTTGTTTTATTATAGAATTTACTGTTAACCAAGCTGAACACCTTATGATAAGCTTTTACATCTCTTTATATCAGATCCAACTAACCTTTGTAGTGGCTTTCTTTTTCTTTTTTTTTTTAATTTTTTATTGTGGGTTGTTCAAAACATTACAAATTTCTTGACATATCATATTCCACACTTTGATTCAAGTGGGTTATGAACTCCCACCTTCACCCCATACACAGATTGCAGAATCACATCAGTTACACATCCATTGATTTACATATTGCCATACTAGTGTCTGTTGTGCTCCGCTGCCTTTCCCATCCTCCACCCTCCCCCCTCCCCACCTCTCCCCTCCCCTCCCCTCCCCTCCTCTCTCTCTACCCCCTCCACTGTATAACCCTGAGGGTCTCCTTCCATTACCATGCAATTTCCCTTCTCTCTCCCTTTCCCTCCCACCTCTCATCCCTGTTAAATGTTAATCTTCTTCTCCTGCTCTTTGTCCCTACTCTGTTCTTAGTTACTCTCCTTATATCAATGAAGACATTTGGCATTTGTTTTTTAGGGATTGGCTAGCTTCACTTAGCATAATCTGCTCTAATGCCATCCATTTCCCTGTAAATTCTATGATTTTGTCATTTTTTAATGCAGAGTAATACTCCATTGTGTATAAATGCCACATTTTTTTTTATCCATTCGTCTATTGAAGGGCATCTAGGTTGGTTCCACAGTCTTGCTATTGTGAACTGTGCTGCTATGAACATCGATGTAGCAGTGTCCCTGTAGCATGCTCTTTTTAGGTCTTTAGTGGCTTTCTAAACCATAGAATTACCACTTGGTGCTTTAATTTTTAGGGTCATTTGATAGGTTTGAATTAAGCAATGTACCTTGTGCTCTTTTGATAAACCACTGGCATCTTGTGTCCCAAATATCTACATCTTTCACCTGAAGCATGCAGGTAGATATATCTTTCATACTCTTTTTAAATACTTTCAATAGTTTGCCTTTTGATGTCCAGTCATCATTGGAATCAATCGTGTCAGTATGAGTGACTCTTTTAACGTGCAAATTAACAGAAAAGCATGTCAAATGATTTTATGCACAAATTTTGGGGTACACAGCTAAAAATACCTCACGTCATTGTACATAAATTTATCAGTGAGAGGGAAACAGGAGAAAGAAAAGGAGGAGTATCAGATTAAATCAATGCATAGGATCCTTATTGAAGAAGATTTATGAGCTGCTGAATACAGTGGGCAGATGTTCTTTTTCAAATCCTAGTCGGAGCTCTTTGGATTTGGGGTAGTTCATTTGTCTCCTGAGCCCTTTCTAGTACAGGGCCACTTCATCTTCTGGTGAGCGGGTAGTAAAAAAGTTTGATTACATTTATTCTCCTATTTGTGGGAGGAGAACATTGTAGAAAAACCAGTGAAGTGGTGAAGGTGTTGAAGTTATTTATGGAGCTGATTAGAGTTTTCTTTCGCTTCTTTCTCTTTCATCTTGTAAAATGTCATGTTTTATCCTCCGACTAGTGATTATATGTATATGCATGAAAAATATTTATGGGAGAAAAAAAGAACTATTTTTTAAAGGGGTTAAATATACCCAAGCTAAGGTTTATTACATTAGTTTCATGACAATTTATGTAAGCTGTTCCAAAAAATAAATAAGTGGAAGTTGATTAAAAAGTGTATAATGGAAAACAAACCTGAGAAACAAACTAAAATAAAAACAAGAGTAATTTGAGAGCTGTGAGAGATGATTATCCACTAAAATTGTTGGTTAGGTTGATTTCCTTAAAGATTCAAAGGGTAAAATAGACACCTCTCTCTGGTATTGGTAGAAGTGAATAGATGAGTTTCATAATTTAAAAAAAAAAAAAAAAGATTTTGCTAAAGCAAGAACCAGTTCATAGTAGGAGTGGTTATGGTTGCAGAAGCACTGGGCTGGGAGGAAGTAAGAGCTAAGTGAAAGACGAATAAGGCAACTTGTGATCGATTGGTGCACTTAGAGGGAGATAGGGAAAGTTTGGGGGCAATGTAAGCATTTTCAAAAGGATGGAGGATGATAAGTTTCTGAAATGGGTGGGAAGCCCAGAATAGTGGCAAGAAGTGAGAGTGGAGAAAGAACCAGAAGTCAGAAAACGAAGGGCCTTGTAAGCCACACCGGAGCCTTTGGAGTTTATCCTCAGAGCTGTGGGGAGCCATTGAGAGTTTATATATAATAGAGCAGCTGGGATCCCAGTGACCTGCTTTGGGACATGTGCATTGAAGAAGGCAAAAACCCAGAAGCATAAGTAACAGACTACTGAGAATTTAAGGCACTAAAAAGGTGCCTTAAACATCACAACATTCTTTGAAGTCTGGGTTTCATTTCATATATTATGAAGTCTAACAGATTCCAATTCCTTGCATTATTTATGTGAGATTAACCAAAACACCCTGCTCTACCAACACACTGTAAAACAAGGAGAGGCTGTAGTATAAGTCTGTGCTAACACACAGATTGGTATCACCACCATCAGAATTAATGACTATATTTTCAATGCTGGGGTTTGAATCTAGGCCTTAGGAATGCCAGGCAAGCCCTCCACCACTGATCTGCATACCCAGCCCTGGTCTCACTTTCAACCCTCTTTAATAACCACAGGTTCTTACTACCCAGTAGAGCCTTATTTTTCCCTTCCAGAATTAAATGTGAAAGTTTATCACTTAATGTTTTTTTTTTCCTTCAAGTCAAAATTCTTTGAAGCCTAAAGTTAGATTTTTTTTTTTTAAATCTCTGTTTCTTTTGCTAGAAATTTTCCATAAAAAATAAACTTCTTTCCAGAAACTCTTCACACGGTTTTTGGCCCCTGCCATCCTTATCTTAGTTCATGAATCACTTTTGTTCTAACTGAATTAACTTCACAAGAACCAGTCAAGCAGTTTCACAAAGCTTTCCCAAGGTCTCTTCAGATCAAAAATACACATTTTTCTTCCGTTTAAAGTTCATGTCAAATGTTGTTGCACACTTGAATTTAGCAACAATCTCAGGCAGTTACTGTTTTTACAAAGTGTGTAGCCAGTCAGCCTTCTGACATTTAACCTCCTTATTTCAGGTTAGCGAAAAGAAGTGATGTAAAAAGAGTAACGAATAATACTGTTTTTTTTTTTTTTTAGTTGTTCTTGTATCTATTTTGCACCTGTATAATTAAGGCTACTTACAGATTAGATATTCTGACAAACACAGGGTGGTTAAATACCTATTTTTGAAAGTAGGTCTGAAGACTTGTAGTTTTTCATCCCCAGAAGATGACCTTTCATCTCTTTTTAGTCTTTGCCATGCAGATATTGACTTGTGCTTCACAGTCAGAGATAACGACATCATTAACTGTTTCTTAGGTATGGACATAAAATAGAACTAGGAGAACCAAGGAAGTCTAGAATAATTTTGCTTCAATCTGCATTAGCTTTTGCAGGAAACTGTATTCATTTATTTAATTAAGTATAGAACTAGTGTTCTTTGTACTTTTTAATTTCTACATTTGTTGCCCCTCCCCCTCCCTGGAAATAAAAGTTGGGGTTTGAACTAGGTTGTTTTTTTTTATTTTATTTTTATTTTTTTAGTTTACATAACACAATACCTTTTTTTTCCCCTTTATTTTTATGTGGTGCTGAGGATTGAACCCAGTGCCTCACACATGCAAGGCAAGTGTTCTACCACTGAGCCACAACCCCACTCCCTGAACTGGCTTTTATTAGGATCAAATGTTTTCAGAGGCATTTTATGGAGGCTTGGGGATTCCTAGGCAGTGTGAGAGACTGGGGCTGCCCCTTGGGCTCGGAGTGGTGCTGAACAATCCCACTTCAGACCCAAGCCCCTGAGTGGAGCAGAACATGTTTTCATGTGTCAGTTTCCTAGATTGAAATTCCAGAGATGTTGCTTTGGTTTCATTGATGCTGTGGCAATTTAGAGGACAGTAGGGGAGGGCATGTAGGTTGCATCTTTTTCCAACTATCTGTGAAGTGGAGATACTTTGTGTACACCTGGGTGTGAATTTTTCATTTAAAATTGGATGAAGAATCAGAAAAATCTAATTTTACTTCAACTCTGCCATTAATATATAATCAGGTATTACATATTTAACTACACCTTTCTGATCAAGCTTCTTTTCCAGGAAAAACAAGAATATGATTACATCTTCTCTCAGAATGATATAGAATGCTTTCATTAACATTGTTCTAGCATTTTGAGCTATTATAGAACATCCTGAGTTTTTTTCTTAGTTTTTAAATGTATTTGCTATCCCCCTGTAACAAATGTCCTGTTAGATCTAAGACCAGCAAGGCCCCTACAGACACTTGAACACACAGCATCTTCTCTAGCATAAGCTGTGACTTCTGTTACTTTTGGTTTCCCCATGATGGATGTCAGGTAGATGTATGAGTGGAATGCCCTGCCCTTTGTCTGGGACTGCTCTGAAGTGTTGTTCTGTGACTTTTGTCTCCTCTCCCCTCCTTGCAGTCCCGTCACGCTCATCAGTATGTGGCCAGAGCACTATGAGTGAGTATTCACAGCCCAGTGTTGAGCTTGGTGTTCTGATCAGGCCTTCTAGCATGCGGATGATGACTAAACTACTGTTCTAAAGTAATACATCTACACCCTGGGTAACAATCCTGGTGGTTTGTTTGCATGGCAAATTCATTATTTATCTAGACTAAAACTAACATCCCTGCTAATAACATCTATCAGTATTTGACATAAAAACACCCTTTGTTTTTTCCTGAACAGCCCTTCACAGTCTCCTCAGCTGTTTCACGATGACACCCATTCAAGAATAGAACAGTATGCCACAAGGTAAGAAATTTGACAGGGGGCCTCTGCCCCACTATCACCCAGGATAACATCTATTTCTGTATTAATCTAATACTATTAACCTATCTTCATTTAAGGAATGTTCTTCTGCAGGAGCCGCAATTCCATTATATTGGAATCTGGGCTCTCTTTGCATTGCAATTTGCACTTTACCAAACACCTGCGCTATATTATGTGAAGAATAAATCTCAATAGGCTGTGATTACTGAGCTCATGAGAATCCAGACAACGGTACAGGCAGGATTTAGATAATGTAACCCAATTTTGGTGAATGAAAGCAGGGATTGAAAGTACTCTCAGGAGATGGTACACCTATGAATTACAATATATAATTAAGTTCACACTAATGCTTTATTATAGGGGTTTGTTTTCGAGCTCCTAAGCAATATAAAATATAGGGCAGTCTTGATGGTGTGCATAGATTTTCAGTGAAGTAGTTAACACTAGGCATTTATGGTCCTAGTAACTGGCTATGCTTGAAAACACTAGTTTAAGGGTCACAAAACTAGTAACATTTGAACTGAATCAGGACCAAGTAGAGTTTTTGGAGAAAAGGTTGCTTAGGCCGATGGGAAAATATATTCAAAAACATTAGACTGGGAAAGAATGTGGCTTGTTTTCTCAACTGCAGAAAGGGAAAGGGTGAAAGAGGGAGAAAGCATTGGTGGCAGAAGTTGAGGTCTGAGGGTGAAGGGCCCAGTTGTTAATGAGTTGGGTCCTGTCCCTAGGGAAAGGAAAGTTGTAGAGGGCCTTTGAAAGAAACATAATTGGATTTGTGTGGGAATATAACCCCCCTTCAATGTAGAAGACCAGCTAGAAGGCCTGCAAGATGGGTAGGGGACAATACAGTCTGGTGGAAGATAGAGGCCTAAGGCCTTACGGCAGTGGTGATAGAAATGTAGCTGGACGTTAGATGCTATTTTAGTTTTATAATCTTGTTAGCAGATTCGAACCCTTCTCTGTTAAAATTATGGCAATGACTGCGGATGTGCTCTCAGTTGACTATGTTCTCTGCAGCCACATTATCTAATGTCCTTATTTTCATTATTTCAGACTGGCCCAGATGGAAAGAACTAATGGATCTTTCCTCACTGATAGCAGTTCTACCACAGGAAGTGTGTAAGTAAATCATGAAATTAGAGCTGCCTGGGGTGGATGCTTCTTGTATGATGGCTGTCAGAAATAATCTTCATTGACTGTGGCTTTGAATTTTGATCCCAATCAAAATCGATAAGTGTGGTTCCAAGATGTCTAAATGGATTTTATGCTTTCAAGCTATGATAGTATAAACTTGATTTTTTTTTTTTTTACCAAGTTTTATATAAGTTAATGAAAAACAAATTCTACATTGGTCAATCAGTCTGCATCAAGCTATAGCAACAGAATATTGATAATTATGGCATTTCTTGTTAATTTTGCAAGTGTAATTCTATAAGTTATATGTTCTGTCTGCAGAGTTCTCTTTCTTCTGCTTGCTAACATTTTCTCCATAATCTGTGCATTTAGCAACACTGGCCCACACATGTTTGGAAGTATACTCACTACCCTTCATTGAAAAGTAATTCCTTGCCCATATTTTATTTTATTGAATATAGGAAAAGACTCGTTGACTTTATTTATTTTGTTAATAGAAGACATTTTATTTCAGCTGGGCACAGTGGCATATGCCTATAATCCCAGCAACTCAGGAGGCTGGGGCAGGAGGATCGTAAATTCAAGCCAGCCTCTATTTGCTCTTTTTAGATATACATGACAGTAGAGTGTATTTGAACATATTATACTTATATGGACTATAACTTATTCTAATTAGGATCCATTCTTGTGGTTGTGCATGATGGGAAGTTTCGCTGGTCATGTATTCATATATGGACACAGAAAAGTTATGTCTGATTCATTCTACTGTCTTTCCTGTTCCCACTCCCTCTTCCTTCATTCCCTTTGTCTAATCCAATGCAATTTTGTTCTTTCATCCTCTCTCCCTTGTTGTGTTTTGTGTATTGACTTTATCTAGCCAAATATTTTATATTTGATCATCCTACTGTTGGTGTTACATATCATCTTTCTTTTGAAACTTTTCTTGGCTGTGTAAGTCACATTAATTCTGAAGTATTGCCTGAAAACCTTCAATAGTGTCATGTTTATGTGACTTGTGAAGGTTCATTGTGGTTTGGTGGGAAGGTATAAGGTAGGCAGAAAAGTTATATTACATAGTACTTGGGTTTTGTTCACTAAAAGGGACTATGGAGAGGCAACTGGAAATAAGCATTCTAATATAGAAAGTCTCATTTCAATAATTTTTAAGAATTTTTTTTATCATTTGGATTATAAATAGAAACTCTCAGGATACTTCTTAATTTTAAATTTTAAAGATTAGCATCATAATACCTGGCAATAATATATTAATTATTTATACTTTGTTCTTCAGGTACTATGAATGTGAAAAATTTTCCAAATCAAGATAATAATATATTCATAATGCTTGTCTCAAATTTTACTATTGTTTATGTCCTTATGGTTATTTATTATATCAGTTGGGGGTGGGCAACTGTGTGTCTTTTCTTAATTCCATATCCAGTGACATCCCTGTCGCAAAATTGGCCATGATGGAAGTATGCCAGCCGCAGAACTTGGGACAGCTACTGATTGAGGCATTTTTCTTTTTCTTCTGGAGAACATGTGGTTGAGTGTTAATTAGTACACTACTGCTGTATACCCAGTATGATAATAAATCTACGGTACTATCTTCATAAATCTTACAGTCTAGAGGGCAGAGAAGCAAGTGCTTATATGGAGAAGAACCTGGTGGAGGCTCCATGTGGACAGGACAGTGCTCCTGAAATGTCCTCATCCTAATCCTAAAACTATGAACATGTGCCTTCACATGGCAAAAGGGACTTCGCCAGAGTGACGAAGGATGTTGGAATGGGGAGAGTGTCCTGAATTATGCCTGGTATAACCACAGGGGTCTGTACGAGGGAAGGAAGGGTCAGAGACGAAGATGTGAGGAGGGAGGAGAGGCCAGGTAGAGATTCACAGATGCCTCACTTCTGGCTTTGAGAATGGACCAACACATGTCACTGTAAGGTGCTGGAAAAGGCAGGGGAACAAATTCTCCCTAGTATTTGAGGTTAAATTAATAGTTTCAGACTGTCTGAACCTCCAAAGAGAAATTACATTCCAGTTATGAGTGCATCAATATTTTTCTAATGAATAATAAACCTCATTTTGTGAACGCCAGCAGGGGAGGTTCTGTGCTCTCTCACAGTTTGAATCACAGAGTGTCCTGGGGTTCTTTTCCTTGGAAACATGCAGTGATTTACCATTTGGGTGAGAAGGCTGATAACAAGCCTAAATCACATAGGCCATACCTTAGATCCCAAGCACAGTGATTTGACTTGGGATGGTCCTCTTTCCTCCTTACCTCTAACACTTACTTATTTAAATATTTCAGTTTAACATTTCAGTCAGCTTTATGGTCTGGGTGAGTGAGTTTTCCTACAATAAATACTGAAATATCACAATAGACTTTCAACATTTTCTCATTGTTATCCATTTCCTCCTTGGCAATAGCTTTATATTATGTGGCAATCTGTTTTCCCTTCCTTTTCTTGTCAACCAAGTAAAACAACTATTTATTCCTAGCTTATTACAGAGGAAATCTATTGCTTAAGTAGCATGAGGTAGAGAAGTCTCATTCAGATAGCCAGGGGTAATTTTTCTTCTCCCTTAAGGCCATCTCCTGTAGGATATTTAGGAAGAGAGGGTGGCATTACATCCTGCTTGTCCTCAACCTCTCTGTGACCATAGATTTTGCTCTTGGGTGTCCCCTCTTCTGCTATGGGTCCTGCTCTCCTTGTCACATTGCTGCTATGACAGCTGGCACACATGGGCTGCTTTCCCCTGATGGATGTTGTCCCCTGAATGAGCAGCTTCCTGGAATGGTGGAGCAAGTAGAGGCCTGGCCTTCCCCCCCAACACATCCATGCCTCACTCAGCCCAGATGCCATTACAGTGAGATGTGAGGGTGTATTTGATTCCCTTAAGCAGCACAGAAAATTAATGGGAGAAAATATTTTAAACTATTTACAGAAAAGTATATTTTTGTATCACTTAAGGCACATTTTTCTCCAAAGTGTCATATGAAATTATAATTTTTTTAAATTAAAATAATTATGTGTTTAGTTAATATATATGAAAACACACATACATAATATGCAGGTCAGATCAGTGATTTTATAGATAGTGGATAGAATAAAACAAGTAAAAATTATGATATCTCAATTTAGAGTCAATTAAAAACATTTCATAATTGAAGATAGTTGGATGTAGCAACATTTAGGAGCATGATATGGAAATTATTGAAGTTTGTAAAATACAGATTGGAGCATCGAGCCCTTAGAACATTTACTCCATCACAGAAGAGTCTGCCCTTTTGGTAGATATGTTTGCCCTTGAGTTCCTAATCCATCTTTTACCCAGAGAATCTCTGTCACTTAGAAGAAAACAGTGAATCTTACCCACATTTATACTTCCCTTTCACAAGCACTAGGTGGGGTTGTTTAATGCCCCAGGAGCAACAGCAGGACAGTTGGTAGTGGCTTTTGGGTACTCTGGGTCCTGTAGGGAAGCACAAAGTGTTTGTGAGACGGACAAATCGAAGTCTACTTGGGACAACTGGTCCACTTCCTAATCCTTGGGTTTGCCACACAAATTACTGCTGGGAAATTGCAGCTCCACCCAGGAGCAAACATCTGTTTCTTATGGGACCTTCTTTCAGTAGGAAAGAAGTATGAACATACTCTAATGCCCTGACCTTTTCCTGCAAGTTTCCTAAAGTTCCAGTACTAGTTGCATCATGACACTGTCCCAAGAGACGGTGGATGACAATTTTCAGAACCACCAAATAGGATTCCCAGCTTCTGAATGAGGGCTCAATGGTTTCTCAAGGTTGTCTTGACTCTGGCTTCATTGTCAACCCTGTGTTTTGAGGTAGTCAACATCAAGGGACTAGGAAGTTTTTGTTGATGGCTGGAACAGTTTGAAAACCAACTCAGAAGTGCCTTAAGCAAAAGATGGTGTAGTGGCAAATTTTCTCCTTCTTGAACTCTGCACTTGTGAGGTTATTATTATTTCATCTGAGCTGTGAAGAATAGTCTTAGGTTTCTCTTCAGTAATATTGGCATACAGTGCCAGGCCATGTGTTCAGCCCTCTGCACGTCACTAGGGGGATTGGCACAGAAAACCTTTGGGTTGATAATCTTGTTTACATTGTTAGCACCATTTTACAGATTAGTAAATGGAGACCCAAGGAGGGTTTAAGGATCTTGCCCAGAGTCTCATAGTAATTAATGGAGTTGGGATCATCCCCAAGCAGTCTGTTTGCAGGCATGGGCACTCCTGGCTATGCCACTGTGGGCACTCCTGGCTATGCCACTGTGGGCACTCCTCCTGGCTTTGCTTTGTGTTGAGAGAAGGAGGAAGGGCTTCCTGGGCAGAGCAGGGAGCATCTGCAGATCCATCCAGTCTTCCTGGGGGTCATCCTTGTCCTTGACCCATTCTGTCCATTCTGTGTCCACACCCAGCTTCACACTTGAGATCTAGCTAGATTTTCATTACAAGAGCTTTTATATTTCAACAACCCATCTTATCAATCTTTTAAGCTTGGCTTTGGGTAATCTCATTCTTTGGCAAGAAAAGAATCTTATACTTTGAGGTAAGAATGTTGAAATTTTCTGAATGTTGAAATTTTTCTTTAACTTATCCAAAGTCCTTTCAGTTGCTTGAATCTTCAGTAGCTGCCGTTCTACCTACAGTTCAGGTCTTTCGCATTCCCTCACATTGGTACAGGGGAAGAATATGGTCTCACTCCTGTCGCTTTTATCCTCCATGAAACTCTTTAATTGTTGGTTGTGCCACCATATTTCATGCACTTATGGCCTACAGTATGAACCAACTTTACAGATTTTTATCCACATTATACCCTTTTATTTGAAAGTCTGACTCTGCACCAATCAAGGCATTAACTTTGAGGGTACTAAGTGACTTTGAATGAAGAATTAAGCAACCATATTTCAGTAAGGGCAAGACCCAGGACTGTCCTGGGGAGTCTCAGAAGCTGGAACTCAAGGATGACAGTTTCTTAGTCCCTTCTCAGAATGTCCATTTCCATCTGCCCTCTCCCTTTGGTGACACTGTCTCCTATGAAAGGATAGAGGGAAGAGGCCAACCGTGGTTTGTATTGGCATTATTGTTGGCAAATCTGAAGCCTAAAGCAGAACAATCCTTAAAAGGAGGAAAGTTTTTATGTCTTGTTTACTTTCCAAAGGTCATTGAGTGAATCACGGTTCATCATCTGATAGGTGTTAATTTTATAATCTAGATAGTATTTACCATGTGTGACAAGTATAGTATAATTGTATTCTATCTAATGGTACTTCCTGGTGTAGACCTACATTTTTTAAACATTTTCTATTTTAGCACTAGGCACAGTATTGATGTTTAATGACCCTAATCTAGTACGTCATGTACTATCTGCAATTAAAGAGTGTGCTCTTGGTTTTTACTACATATATAATTAAGAACTAGAATGTATCTATTTTTGTATCTAAATTTTAGGTCTATTAATCTGAAAAAAAACTTAAGATTAAAATTATATGTTATATAATAATTATTTTTAAGTTCTTATTTTTGTAAAAACTGCCTTATTTCTCTTCCAGACACATTAAAGAAAGAATATAATGTTAGAGTAAATGATAATTATAATATACTAAACACCATGAACCTTCCAAAAGAAATGAATCTATGGAAATGTTGACAAGAACATGCATCTCAAATCTAATTTTGACTGGGGCCATAGTACCTAAACACAAAATTTAATTAATGTAAATATTGAGCACTATTGTGTTGGTTGGTGTTTGCATAAATGTTTTAAGGGCATAAATTATGCAGTGGTGTTTATGGCACAGAGGAGCGCTGAGTCAGAATCTGGTTAAATCATGGCCATGAGATCTGCCAGCAGCTTATGGGGGGTCCAAGTTTTCCTTTTGCTTTTGATGTCCTTGTTTCACTTTAAAAAAAATTACTTTAAGTTTTTATCATTTTCTTTTAGGCATAATATTAATAGGTATCATATAACTAATTTTAGCCAATATGCTATTTATTGGCTAAAATTTAGCTCTTATTTCAACACCTGAGATGACCGTTACTTCTATTCTAATTTCTATTGTCCTTGCTCATCCTTTTTTTGTTTTGTCATATAAACAAAGACCTTTGCCAGTCCAAGTAAATGATCTGGCTGATTGATTTAGTCTGTTTTTTCACTGCTGTGACCAAAAGACCTGACAAGAATAAGTTTAGAGGAGGAAAAGTTTATCTGGGGGCTCGCAGAAGTGTCGGTCCATAGATGGCCGGATCCATTGCTCTGGGCCTGAGGAGAACATCTTGGTGGAAGACTGTGGTGGAAGAAAGTGGCTTAGGACATGCACCAGGAAGCAAAGAGAGACTGAGTTCATCTCACTAGGGCATATCCCCCAATGACCCACCTTCTCCAGCCACACCCTACCTAACTAGAGTCACCACTCAGTTAATTCCCATCAGGGGATGAACACACGTATTAGGTCAAGGCTTTTAATATTTATATTTTTTGTTTTAGGTGGACACAATATCTTTATTTTATTTTTATGTGGTATTGAGGATCGAACCCAGCGCCCCACACATGCCAGGCGAGCGTACTACCGCTTTGAGCCACATCCTCAGCCCAAGGCTTTTATAACTCAATTATGAAATTTCCTGCACCGCCTCACACAGGAGCTTTTGGGAGACACCTAATATGGAAACCAGAACACTGGTCTTATGAATGACTTAGTTGGTTAGACATTGCCCCATGGTCTGAAATTTAATATTTTGGACAGCAGGGGACTAAACCTTTTTTATTTACAAATGATTTGCTGTTTTGATTTCTGGCTGATTCCCTGTGATGCTTTATCCTTACAATATAGAAAGTTTCTTGGGAGATATAGGTAAATATTTTTCTTCTTTCTTTTCTTTTCTTTCTTTTTTTTTTTTTTTTTTGGATGCTCCATCTCTTTAGATTCTGTGCTCAGGTCTCTTTTAACCTGAGACATATTAACAAAATCATGTTCTACTGTGCTCTTCCTTTACAGTTACTTAATTTTATACCCACTATATCTTTGTGCCTTGTTCATTGGTCCTGTCAGTATGTTCGTCGTACACCTTTAATCCTCCCTCACTGTTTCTCTCTCCATATGAAGTGGGTGGTGTGCCTCCACCCACGCATGGCTTATGATCCATAGCAGCTAAGTGGCGGCTCAGGGTGTGGATTTGTTCTTCTCATCCCCTGCTTCTGCCTCTTTGTAAATGGTTAGGGTGTTGGCCCTTTGCTTCCCATCAGGAGAATGCACTCTTCTCCCAGGCCTCCCCATCAGGTTTCTGTCCCACTACATGGACAGCCTGGGAGCCTTGGACCTGGTTTCAAGTGCTACTCCTCTGCAGTGGTGGTAGATCCATTTTCTCTCTCTAAACCTGGAAACAAATATGTGATTCTTGTAGCAGCTCCTTCATCTATGTCCCAGTGATGTTCTGCTTTCTCAGGAAAAGAAATCAAAGAGTGATATCTTGTCTGACTTTAGCCCTTATCACCCTCTTTTGATTTTTTTTTTCTTTACTGGGGATTGAATCCCCAACCTTATGCAATGCTAGATAAGCAACATACCACTTGGCTACATCCTCAATTCCTTAAAATTCATTTGATGGAAGCTGGGTACAGTGACTCATGCCTGTAATCCCAGCAGCTTGGGAGACCAAGGCAGGAGGATCACCAAGTTTAAAGCCAGTGTTAGCGACTTAGTGAGGCCCTAAGTAACTTAGTAAGACTCTGTCTCAAAAAAGGGCTGGGGATGTGGCTCAGTGGTTAAGCGCCCCAGGGTTCAATACGTGGCACCAAAAAAATAATAATATTAATTAATTAGTTAATTAATTAGGGCTGGGGATGTGGCTCAAGTGGTAACACACTCACCTGGCATGTGTGGGGCACTGGGTTCAATCCTCAGCACCACATAAAATAAAATAAAGATGTTGTGTCTGCCGAAAACTGAAAAATAAATATTAAAAAATTCTCTCTCTTTCTCTCTCGCTCTTTAAAAAAATTAATTAATTAATTAATTTGATTGAGGGATGGAAGATTAGGTGGTATGTATGTTTATATTATGGTCTTAACCAAAGTGTATAACCTTTATTTAAAAAATATATATACATACACACACACACGCACACATACATGTACATATATATAGCTATAGTTTATGTGTGCATGTGTGTAGAGGGGTAAAGGAAGGGATAGAAGAGTGAGATGGAAGCGAAATACACCACCATGTGGCTTGTACAAGATCTTTTTTAAAAATTTATTTATTTTAATTAGGTATGAGAGCAGAATGCATTTTGATTCATTGTACATAATTGCAACAGAACTTTGCATTTCTCTGATTGTACACAATGCAGTGTCGCACCATAAGTGCAGTCATACATGTACCTAGGGTAATAATGTCCATCTCATTCCACCATCTTTCCTGCCCCCACATGTCGTGCAAGCTCTTGAAAGCTGCTTGGTGAGCAAAGCCCTCACATTCCTTCCTGGCTTCCTTGCTGCCCTCTGATCCCTATGATCTCTGTGCTTAGAAGGAGGTCACAGCTTTTTAAAGAACTCACTGACCACAGATATAATTTGAGTCCCTTCTTCATCAAAATAAACTGCAAGATTCAGAGGGCTGGATTTTCATATCAAACTCAAAAAGAATCAGAGCACTTGCTGCACGTCAGCTCACTAATCAGCTCAAGAGCATGAGTAATTTCAAGGCCCCGGAGAAGCAAAGAAAGGCCGAGCTCCCAGCACCCGGTTCTTCCTGGCTGTCTTAGGATATGGTCTGTCCACAGAGTGACAGAGGAGGTTGCTAAGAGATACGTGTATCCACATCACTTACACAGAAGGATCCAGTGACAGAATTGCTCCATTTTATACTCTGATAGCTACATAACTTACATGAGGTTGTCCAGAAGCAATATCTTACAATAGATTCTAGGACTTATTTAGCAAATAACTTGTTTAGCAGAGCAGGTACAGTCTGCCAAAGGCCTTCTCCATTAGCAGTAGCCAGGAGATCTGGTATTCACACCTTTACAAGAAGATCAGACTGCATCTTCCTCATGCAGGAGAAGAGATTCCAGGTTTTCCTTCCCACAATTGGATCAACTTTGTCTACTCTGTGATGCTTCTGCTTATGTCGATTGCTATTCCTCTCCGCTATTGATAGGTCTAGTTCATGAGACAAGTAGTCAGGTAAATGAGAGAATTCCAGGGAATTCAATTTAGTCAATGTTTTAATGTAGAATGATTGATCCTAAAAGTTACCTACTGATAATACCAAGTAAAACATCTATAATTATCACTTGTGCTTAATTACCTAAATAAGAGACTGTAAGGATGGTAAACCCTATTCTGTGAATTATAAAGTATTTCAAAATTGCTTACAATGAAATGTAAATGCTGAAGATAGGGCCGTCAGTTTAGTGTATGTCAGTGGTCTTTTAATCTGTTCTTTTGACATTTGGGGAGTGATTTTGCCCATTATATTCTTTAAGTGTTTCATGTTAACTCTTTAAGCCTTACTTTTATTAACATTTAAACCTTATTTATATTAACTGTCATGCCTTATTTTTTTTTTTTGCTGAGCACAATCTTTATTCTGAGATTCATGGGAAATCACTCTTAGACTAAGACAAGCATGAAATGTCACTGTGCATCATACATTTGCACTGATAATGACTGTCTTGCTTGAGTTCTAAAAGGGAGGCTGTGCAGCACAACTACACAGGGGCTCGGCCCAGCCACCAACCTGGGCATCATCATTTCTACTTCCTGTTTGTCCAGAGACGTCGCCATTCCAACACAAGCTTTTGTGTCTGTGCCCCTTGTTTTGCTAGGGAGGACGAGCATGCCCTCATCCAGCAGTACTGCCAGACGCTCGGTGGGGAGTCTCCGGTGAGCCAGCCTCAGAGTCCAGCTCAGATCCTGAAGTCTGTGGAAAGGGAAGAACGTGGAGAATTGGAGCGGATCATTGCTGACTTAGAGGAAGAACAAAGGTTTGCTAGACTCAGGAGAAGAAAACTTATCACTCTTTCTTTCATGTCGATATCAGGGTGTTCCCTGCCCATCTTCTTTTCAGAACGATTGTTCAAAATGTCACAGTGGAATCAAGGTCTTGGAGGACATTGACCCATTGGGATGGGGCAGCAGAGCTGGCAGTGCTTGACATTGATGATGTCTGTTACCATACTAGCTTAAAGCTACTGTTTCCTTCATGCTTCCGGATCTTACTGCTGATACAAGTCTTTACATAGAGGAAATAGTAGCACAAGCTAAATTTGGAGCCCGTAGACAGTGTGGGAGATTACTATTGCACCCAATAGTAATTTCAGTGTTTTCCTTTTTTTTTTTTTCTGGATTAGAAACCTGCAGGTGGAATATGAGCAGCTGAAGGACCAACACCTGAGAAGGGGGCTTCCTGTTGGCTCACCTCCAGACTCGATTGCATCTCCTCACCACACGTCTGAGGATTCAGAACTTATAGCAGAAGCAAAACTCCTTAGGCAGCACAAAGGTCGGCTGGAAGCTAGGATGCAGATTTTAGAGGATCACAACAAACAGCTGGAGTCTCAGCTGCACCGCCTTCGACAGCTGCTGGAGCAGGTAGGGTGTGCTGAATCCAGCGCCACAACCCCTGTGACACCTGTCCACCTCCCAGAGGTCTGGGCCTGACACCAGTAGACGTAGAGGTCCACCTTCAATTTCTTACTTCCATAGTTAATTTAATTTGGACAGGCTTAGGAATCCCTTTGTGTGTACACATTAAATCCTTACTGGCACAGAAAAATGTGTTTTCCCAGTTTACAGTGGAATCTCATTTTTCTTTAGCACGGAAGTCTTATCTCAGCTCAAAATAGTTTAATAGAAAAGATCCCATGGCATACATTTGCCTACTACATTGCATATGGGAAGCATCTGTGGAGATTAAAGGACAGCAAGTGACCTGAATCTGCATTCTAAAGCTTTCTTCCACCAGCCAAGAATGCGTACTACAAAAATCACTATTTTCTATTTCCAAGAAATTGAGTAACAGATGGTTATTAATTTGCTACTATTATTTTCTAACACTGGTCCATGTTTTATGGCAGTTGCTTGCAAACTTTTATGACAATAAGAAATACAATTTGCATTGTGATGAAAACATATATGTTTGGTGAATACAAAATAATACTTGCCTTTATAGAGAAATGCATCTCTTAATTTTCTATTCTTTTTCCTTTCCTTCCTCCCTCTCTGTCTTCTTTTCCTCCTTCCTCCCTGCCTGTCTGCCTTCCTCTCATCCTTCTTTGCTGCTGCTTCTTCATTTTTTTTTTTTTTTTACTTCTCTTGTTTTTCTTTCTTAATGCTGGTCAGACCCTACTAAATCAATTTTATATCTCATTAATGGGTAATAGCTTGCAGTTTTGAAGACAACAACAAGATAGTATCCTATATTACAATTGTATATAATAAAACACATCCTATACAAAGACACAGCATACTGCAGAGCGTCCAGTACTCATTACACGTTGGTTTAAAGAGCAGGAATCATGACGCAGGACGAGCAATGAAGATGCCTTGACAGTGGTTGCATAGAGGGTAGAATCCCGGTGCAGGGCCAGGAACTCCTTGCTTGAAGAATCTCTGACATCAACAGACATGTCCTCTTTGGCCTTTTTTCTTGCTTAGGCAGTGTCGAGCTCCTTGGTAATGGAATAAGGATGATTTTCTCCAGAAATGATTCGTGGCATCAAAACCAAAACAACTTTCTCGCTAGTGATTTGCTCAAATTTTAGGAAACTATCTTGTCACAGTTGCTCTCAGTGTCTTTTTAACTTGTCATAATCAGTCAAAACATTATAATTTCTGCATTACCTACATAGTGGGCCACAGATCTCTCCTTATAGTTTGACCGTATGCCTTTTTCTCCTTCCTATCATCATCTCAGAATTTTTGTAGCACTGCTTTGTGGAAGGTTTAGCTCAGGGCTTCCAAATTCTGCATCTTTTGAAAACAACTTCCCCCCAAGAGTGACCCAAGACCTAGCTTTTTGATAACACTTCAAGAATGCTCAATTCTTTCCTCGGTGCCAGTCACATACACTGAAAAGATGCCATTGCTTATACCCTGGATTGGAAGTTTCTAAATGGTGCCTGAGAAAAGGATGAGTTTGCTCATGTGATCTCTCACTTAGAAAATGAGTGTCAATGTTGACAGCCTAGTGCATATGTAGAATCATTGCGGAAGACACCTTTATCAGCTGTGGCTTGTAGAGGCTTATAGAGACCTAACGGCTCTTATGCTCCTGCTTTGCTCTCTCCAATTCCTCCATCCCATTAGGCAGAGCTGCCTAATGGCTCATGTGCCTCAGGAATTGCACAGTAATGTGTTTGAAGATAACTAATATCTAAATGACTCTGAATATCCCAGATTGTGGAATCCCTATCCCTTGTTAACGATTTAGCATGAATGTCAGAAGTAGATGGGAAAATTTAACTCTGATAATAAAAACAAGCAAAACTATCAGACTTCAGCTAATATAGATTTAATGGGAAAATCTATAACAAAACAATTATAACTTCTGCATTCTGTATACAAGGAATTTTGTTTTCTAATTTGACCACATACTCATCAACATACCAATGACCATTTTAAAGATTTGGGTAAGAATGCATTTAAGAAGTATCTGCTAGGTGTTAGAATGTTCCTGTCACTTTAGAAATACTCATTCATCAACCCCTCAGATTCCTATGACATGGGCACCTGTTGCCATTTTTATAAATTTATTTATAATATTATAATATTTTCATAAATATTTTATAAAATTTATTTTTATAAATAAAAAATCCAAGGCACAACAAATTGTTTAATTTGCCCAGAATTAAACTGCTTCTGAATGGCAGAGTTAGAATTTGAATTTAAGCCAAATGACCCAAAATCCTGCTCTTATCCACTCTCTCCAATATTGCCTTTAAATCTGAACTAATTCTGTAATTAAATACATTTACTGTATTATAAGCCCAGTGCTAATATTTAAAAGATGAGAGAAACATGCTTCTAAGTTCACTTGTTCAATATAAAAATAATGGAATAATGAAGAGATGAAAATGACATTGGTAAATGAATCCCTCAGTGTATCCAAGTGAGCTCTTGAAGTTGCCACACAGAAGGGAAGGACCACTTGTATTTCTCCCTAGTGAAGTACTAGGGTGCCCACCAGCTGGTGCTAAGAGCTATTTGAAAATGCCTGAAGGCAAAGACCTGCATCTGATTTAATTAACCAGGATGAGGGAGGGAACATTGAAAGGGAACTGCTTTCCTTCAGGGTTATTTGAATCCTGTCTCTACTCTAACCAATTCATATGATTCCAGCCTGAATCCGATTCCCGAATCAATGGCGTCTCCCCCTGGGCTTCACCTCAGCATTCTGCACTGAGCTACTCACTTGACCCTGACCCAGGCCCACAGTTTCACCAGGCAGGTCAGTACCCCTAAGGCACTGCTACGTCCCCAATCTGCTTTGTATTTGGCCATTTGTTTGGTTTTCATTTCAAAGAGCCTTAGAGCATAAATGTGTATTCTCTTTGGTCTTAAATGAGCGCAAATCCGTTTTAACAACATCAAAAGGCAAACATTTTAGAATAGTAATAAGTCATAATTTGCTTGTTTATATATTTTATAGGAGTGGATTGAATTTTGGTGAAAGATGAAAAAAAAATCCCTTTTGGAATGAGCAAGAAATTAACTTTTTTTATTTGCTTCAAGACTTATTTTTTTTTAAAGTTGTCATATCTCTTTAATTTTCATAGTTTTTACACTTTCAAAATATATTACCCCAAACTGTAGGTTTCTCTGCCCAGGTCTGGGAACTCATTTAAATCTTTATATATCTCATGCTTGTAAAAATTACCTCTCCTTCCCTCTGAGGCAGAGGTCCCACCAAGACCATCACTGGTCACAGGGAGACCTGTCACTAACGCTAGGAAGGACCTTCTAGGCATTTAAGAATGACATTTTGTTGAAATTCAAGTTCTACAGTTCTACTGAAGACTATATACTGTATCAAATTAATTTATCTGTAAGATAAATTTTGGTACATTAATCAGAAGAAAAATTAAAATTAATATCAGTTTAATATTGTCTTAAGTAACTAATGCGACTTGATTATTAAAAAATTAAATTAAAAATATATAATATATATGTGTATATATATACACACACACACACACACATATATATATATATTTAGTTGTAGGTGGACACAATACCTTTATATTATTTTTATGTGGTGCTGAGGATCAAACGCAGTGCCTCACATGTGAGCTCTCTACCAATGAGCCCCAGCCCCAGCCCCAGCCCCAGCCCCTATATGGGTCTTTTTTTTTTTTTGGATAAAAACATACTTGCAGTACAAAATAATGGATTCCCAACTAAGACATTGAGAATAGATGATTACATTACTTATTTTCAGTCTTATTATAGTGCATGGATCATTTGGACACAAGCATCTAATACATTTTAATTATATAAAATCATATTACCAACAATTGAATATTAAAAATGTTTTTTGATATTTCCTCTGAAATTGTCTTTTCAATGAGAAGTCATTTCCCATTGATGTTTTGAGGCCGGTCATAGAATTTTCTCCTGATGTTGAGTGTTGGTGGGAGTCTAGGCACTGAATTCAGAAGTTCTGTTCTTTCTGTGTGCTGTTGCAGCAGCAGAGGACCTGCTAGTCCCACCCCAGGACACCAACACGGACCTCACGGAGGTCATGGAGCAGATCAACAACACTTTTCCATCCTGCTGCCGTGAGTATGAAAGATCACGGCACTGCTGCGTGCTATGTCCCACCCTTTCGTTTTCTGCAAGCAGCCCCTTGTCTTCTTGGGTAGGGTAGCAAAAGCTCATGTTAGAAACAGGATTGAATATTATTTGAAATTAAGGCAAACATTTACACATTTTGATAAAGAAAAAAAGCTCAGCCTCGACACCATCACGTCACGGGGGTGCAGTGACAACACAGGCCCACTCTGAGATTTTTTTTCCATTTGTCTTGTGAGTGATAAAAGGAAGGCAAATAAAATAATGTCTGATTTTAAGAAGAAATGATTCTCGTCAGTGCAAGCTATCATAAGAAACTTGTTTTACTTCAAAGGAGAGCTTTAGCAGCATGCCAAACAAGGCATGAAAATAGCCTTTCTAATGTAATTCCCTCTTTTCTTCAGATATTGCTGTCAGATGTCATCGGATTCTGGTATATAAAGGGATTATTTTCAGAGTTTTTTTTTCAGTTACTTTCTTTTTTCATGGGATAAAATAATCATTTTGTTAAGGCCAAATGATTTAAAGCATCACAGATTATGGCTTTGTGAATTTTCTATATGAACAACCAAGAACCAGAAAATCACCAAATAAAACAATCCAAATCCAAGGGGAAATTTTATAATGATTCTAAGTTATTGATTTTTTTTCCAATTTTTATCTTTGGCATCTTGCCACCTTGCAATTTCTGCTGAGTTCTCACCTAAAGAACCTCTGTGATTTCAAAAGAAACAGTCTACTTGTGTTTGTGTGTGTGTGTGCATGCGCACATGTACACCCACGCATGTGCACGCTACTTAGTGCCACACGTAATTTTAAATAATCTTCTAAAGAGTACGGAGATATTATCTGTAATTTCAGGGTGAAATCCTCTCACACTGATTTTAAAACAAGACAGCCACTAAAGTAAGATTTTACATGAAGCACAGCTTCCCATCTCACCCTTTTCTAACATCTCCTTAGAAAATAACTAAACGAAGAAAAAGATACTATCAATTATCAATATTGTGGGTAAATAAGATATATTGTCTTCATTAAAAGTTTTTCTTTCATTTTCCACTACTCTGTAGTTTAAAAAATGCCATCATTAGCAAGATGTAAAGACAACTATTTAAAATATATTCTCTGAATTTTCAAGAGTGTTAGCCTAAAGGGAATATTATCAGTTTCACAAGTGCATAACTTTTTATTTATATTTACACGTCATTTCCCAGGTGTTTTATTTGTAATTTTATTATTTTTCTTCTCAATATTTGCAGACTCATACTTACAGTGTGTCAGTCGCCACATTTTCTGCCCCAAACATGTGCACACACAACACATGCACACACCCAAGTGTGTGTGCACATCATCAAACACCTATATACATATACACACAATGCTCATGTGCGCGCACACATACACATACACACACACTTTTGACTCTTATACAGTCTCATAACAGCTTAAGAGTCAGGCTGTTAGATTGTTGTTTATTTTCTAGGCTATATAGCCATCACAATAGATTAACAGATAAAATCCTTTATGTTAATTATAATTCAAGGTTGAATTTTATTTTAGAGGTTTTGGTTGTGAGTCGTATATGATTTAATGGCTACATGAAACCTCATCATACTTTTTGGTAAGAGTTTCAACATTAAATTTCTAAAGGATATTACTTTTTAGTTCAGCTTACACCAAAAGATGTTAATAATTAAAGAAAAAATCTACAAATCAAATTCTACCTAGAAGTTTTTTTTTTTAATGCCATGGTGGACATTTTCAATTTAAAAATCAGTTGGCAGTGAGAGCCAGGATGGGAAGTTTGTATAAGTGTATGCCTGGTAACGAATATAAAATATATAATTTCCATATTAAAATTTTCTTACAGATCCATGATTTTTTTAGCCAGTTTCATTTTCTAAAGCAGTTACTCTGAACTGCAGTTACCCTGAACTGTGGATTGTGTAAAAGATTGATCAATGTCATACTCCAAACAATATAACTAAAATTACATATATAATTATAGAGCAAAAAATGAGTTTTAAGAGGTAAATGTGTTCATTTCATGTTATGACCCCCCCCACACACACCCTGCCATTTAAAGACATGCCTAAAATTCCTTTTGGTTGGCAAGGTAATCAGCTGGATATTGGTTCCTGAAAAGAGTGTTTATCTTTAAGGTAACCACTTCAGAGGCTAACCCTGTCCTTTGCATGGGTAGCTCTTCCCCTGAGTTCTTCTCCGTGGTTAGAAGTATTGTCTGGAGCCCTGAGATTCCTTAATGGGGAGCTGGTTCCATGTCCCCCTCATCTTATGTTTGCATACCCACAGATATCTATAATTTTTATAGCTTTCCAAAAATCATTTCTGTGAATGATGAATGGTACCAGGCATGTGTTATTTTGCGGAATTCAATTACCTCTCACATAAGAAATGATCAAAAGTGTAATTTTAGAGTCCTTTGAAATTCAGATTTTTGTTTTGTTTTTTTGGCTTCTGTAAGTCATGCTGTTAGTTTGGGTTTAGTTTGATCTTCTTGGTATTTATATTTTGCTTTGACAGTATAAAAAATCTTCAAGACAGACAACTTCCTATTAAAAAAGCCTCAATTGACTGATTTCTAAAATTGATTATATGTTTTAAAATTTTTCCTAAAGTTATTGTGTATTTTTAAATTAGAGGATTAATTTGCATGTGACATAGAATTGGTAACTTGTTACATGTTTCTGAATTGAAAGAATATGTGACTGATTACATTTTCTAACTGGAAAGATTTAGTTGACATTTTCCCAGATGGTATGCAGAAGATTCTGTAGATCCATTTGTTCTAGTGCCCCTTTTAAGTTGCTCAGCTAGCAAATATTTTAATAAGGCTTCACAATTCCCTGAGCTTACTGACCACCTTTGGAGCATTTATCTAAACAAATCGTATTGGCACTCTCCCAATGCCAAACCAATCTCTTGAGCCCCTGTAACTAATGAGAACTTTAAAATTGCTTGTCACCAGCAAGCGATGAATTGATCTGCATGTTAATCTTGACTTTTGATCCTTAGTGGATTAAAAACTAGCATGGCCACAAATGAATTTCTTCTCCTGGCAATCTTAGAATTAAAATGAAGCTCTGTATTCATAAATCCTAATTGCATGGGTTGCTTATATTAACATGACTTTTTTATAAAAAACACGTCTACTTTAGAATTCCTCTGTTTTCAATAAATATCCCAATTGGTCCTGATGGCATTCTTGAATTATAGCCTTTTAAAAATCTTAAAATTGCATAGTTTCTGAGTAGAAAGGAAAGCATTGCCTTCTCTTCCTGGCAAAGAGTTAATGAAGTGAATTTAATTGTGCTGCCAATTAATATACATGCTAAAATTTCCACTGACTGCTCTACCCATTTCTTTTTTAGTGTAAAATATATTGCCACTTTTTTTTCTTTTATGTCCTTTATAGGTATGGGATACTTGTAGTAAGCTGAGTAATTTTGCTGATGGACCAAAAATACTTTTAAGGTTATTGTTAATTTACCAGCAGATTTCCCTTGTGAATCACCTGTATTTGTTAAAATTGAGTGACATTTATTAAAGACTCAAAACCTACTAAAATGGAATTTCCTAATTTTCTTCTGAAATACATTAGTAGGATTTGTGCAGGGAAGTATCTATGGCCTTTTATTTGATAAAAAAGCTATAGGGTTAAATGTATTGATTTGGAGCACAATGGGATGTACTTCTGTCTAGGGTATGCTATTCGTTACATACAAGAAAAGCATAACTGTTTCTTTTAGAGAGAGTGTATAAATGCAACAGGTACTTGGAATCCACTTCTTTTCTCTTAGATGTAACTTGCATATCTGATAGGGAGATTTGCTGTAGCCTGATTCTTGCCCCAATAGGGGAGTTCACACTTTCCTTCCAGGCATCATAGGGAGGTTATTACAAAAGCACTGGCACCCAGACTGTGGTCACTGATGTCTTCTCCACCCTCTGCCACCCTGCAGAGGAAAATGAGAGTCAGCATTCTAGATGACTAGGTTGGCTCCTTTTGGACCAAGAACATAGGTTGCCATTACAGGGGACTGGAACTCCTCCTTTTTACCCCTGTGTTGAAAATGATTGTGCAGCAAAAGGGGATTGAAACATCTGAGACCTTGAAAAAGTAATTTGGTAGTGGCTGCCCTCACAAAGCCCACTGGATCCGACAAGCTTCACTGTTGTAGCTTCAGAACAAAGAGGAAAGTGAGCTATCTGGAGGCAGAGTTTAATTAGATGCCCCATTCTAACTTCTGCAGTGCTCTCAACTAGGCCTATCCTAGGCATTAATCCAAGTGTCCAGAAAGCTGGCAAGGAGTGGGCTAGTCCTTTCTTTGACACAAGCACATAGCCACCCTCTTCCCATAATTTCCAAGAGAGAGTCAGCTAAGGGTGGCAGAAACCAGACCCCATTGACTCCAAGTGGTCCGTTGGTCACAATTTATACTATTCAACAAAATATGCTGAATTTGTCTGTTCTGATACATAAATCAAATTCATGATGTGATTTAAATAGAAAGCTTAGAGATTTTTTTGCAATGTGCTCACTGAATGCTTTAGTGCATATTTATTTGAGAGAGCTTACATATGTTTTGCCTGGGTGGGCTTTTTATTTCAAGTCACATGGGATATGAGAAACTAGGAGCTATCCCTTTTTAGAGCATTTGGGGTGAGGGAAGCTTGGTGCTTATTCTCTTATTAGTATCTATTAACAGTTGAACCGTTATCCCACTCTGAGTGGTATATGCCACACATTTGATGCATGAAAGCTGGAAGCAATAAAGCAAAAATAGGGCCTTTGACTGATTTCTTTTGTTGTTTTTTTTTTTTTCAGCAAATGTCCCCAGCAGGCCACAGGTAAGAGTTAATGTCTTGATTGGCTCAATTGTTGCTGATCCTAACCCAGAGTAAGCAGATTAGCTACCATTGATTTTAGTCTTACTTCATTCTCCATATAAATACATAAATTTGTTTGGCATTTAAATGCTAGTTGATTCTGTACAATAGTTTGTCAATCTGGAGGGGTCATAAAGGCAGGCTTCCAAGCCAGATTCTACAGATAGCAAAAATACCATGTGTTTGATCTTCTGTGTTCTAATGTCATGTTATATGCTAGTTGGAAGTCACCCTGGGTAGATTTGGCCAACCACTTGTCTCTCATGTCTAGTTTGTACAGAACATTGACTTTAAAAAAGTGACTAGTACCACAACAATGATACAAATATTATTACTCTGGTGGGAAAAAGTTAGAATTTTTCATTTAAAATATTGTTGCAATTTGTTGGCAGATATAGCTTTATGCCTTGCAGTATTTTTCTTAGCAGGGACTCCTCGTAATAATGTACCACGGGACCACAGTAGATCTTTAGGAAGATTTTTTTCCACGAACTTGTTAATTAGTCTTTTTTCAAAATGGTGAACATTCTGAGTGTCTTATTGGCAGGGGAGCTGCGGTCTTGGCTGGAAGACACTATTCCATGTCACATTGGTGATGGCCATGGGTTTCTTCTGATTGCTTCTATTGTCTTAGTGAATTGAAAACTAGACTTCATCAGGGAGCGAGGCTGGGTAGGTGTCAGAGATGTAAGGAGAGAATGGAGGATGTGCTTGGAGAACACCAGAGCAGATGCCCCCAGAAATAGTGTGACAATCAGGCAGCAGTAGAGGACAGCATCCAATGTGCCAGTCATGACTTTAACAGAAGGCCAGCCTGCAGCCACATTCCAGTTCATAAACACAGGCACCAGAATTACTGTAGTGTTATATTTAATATTTTAACAAACTCAAAGTTGGGTCAACCCCATCAAGGAAAGAGGCAAAGTAGTGATTGATGATTGAAATGATTTAAGCAGAACCTTAAGCTCAATGGTGAGAGACATTGAGTCTAGTGTAGGAGAGAGAGAGAGAAAAAAAAAAAAAAAAAAGAGACAAGGCTGTATGGATCCAAGGATGGATGATGTAGCCATTCTATCTGAAATAAACTGAAAGACTGGTTGTGGTTGTCAGAAGATGGGTTGGTGGAAATGTTGGAGGAATGGCATGTTGCGTGAATGGCTAAGAGAAGAAGGGGACAGGATCACTGGAGAAGAGGCGCTCAAAAAAGTGAGAGGTCAGAGTGTTGGCAAAGTCATCTATGCAGGTGTTGAAATCATTGACTTAAAAAGAGGTTCCCGGTGGGTGACAATGAGTCATTCCTTCTTCAAGAAGTGAGGAGGTGATTCCAGGAGCTAGTAGGCGACTGTGTTTTGTATCTGAGATTCAAATGGGTGTTTCTATGGAGAAGAGAAAGAAAGAGGCTAACCCTGAACAGCTTCAGTGAGGCCCAGAAAGACTCTCAGGGCTGTGAAGAGGTGAGAGAAAAGTCATGTGTGACTTTCATGTGTTATATGGAAATCTGTAAGTTTTTTGAAGATCCAGATATTGATTAGGCAAGCAGGGAAGGAAAGCATCCAGAGAAGAGGTGGAGGATGAGGGTTTTACTGAATGATGGACATGTGATCCAGGGGCCATGGTGGTGGGGGAGGGGTTCAAGAACTAGGGAGGTAGAACATGGGGACACACTTGGAGGAGTTCATATTTCTCTGTGGAACAGCATGCAGAATGAAAGGGCAACTGGAAATCTGGAATCTGGAGTATGTTACAGTAACCCATTAAGAACAAGGAGAGAGGCTGTGATTAGTCCTTGTGGTCCCAAGGTGCCGGCAAAGCCTGGGTGATGGTGGCCGGGAAGCAGAGAGGGAATAATCTTATAAATCCTCAAGTACTTTACAGTACAGGTGCTCAGACTTTAAAAGTGATCTTAAAGACCTTTTTCTACATTATTTTCAGATTTTAAAAAATTGGGTTTAACCAGGTACACGTGATACATGCCTGTGATCCCAGCAACTCGGGAGGCTGAGGCAGGAGTTGAGTAGTTGAGCAAAACCCTGTCTCAAAATAAAATAAAGAGGGCCAGGGATGTAGCTCATTGATAAAGCTCCATCCCCAGTACCAAGTACCATTAATTAACTAATTAATTAATTAATTAAAAAATAAGAAATTGAGTTTGAAAAGAGCTACATGTACCTGGACAGAGCAAACATATGGCCCCCAGAAGCCCCCTTCCTCCTTTCTCCCTTCCCTCTTCATTCCTTTTTTTTTTTTCCTTGAATCTTCAGCATTTTCTCTCTTTTCATTTTTCCATTTCTTGGGTCAAGTGGAAGTTCATGAAAAGTATGTTTTCACCTGGATAGTTGTGCTAACAATTATATTGCATGGGAGATATTGTCCACTCATCAATAGACACATCCAATTCCCAGGGATAATGATGCATAGAAATGATTTTAAAACTCTGCCAGGCATGGTGGCACATGCCTGTAATCCCAGCAACTCGGGAGGCTGAGGCAGGAGAATTACGAATTCCAAACCAGCCTCAGTAACTCCTCGAGACCCTGTCTCTAAATAAAATATTTTAAAAAGAGCCTGAGGATGTGACTCAGTGGTCAAGTACCCCTGGGTTCAATCCCCAGTACAAAAAAAAAAAAAAAGATTTAAAAATCCTTTTGGCCTATCAATATTAGTATGTAACAGCATGTTCTTTCACAGGTAAAATTGATCTCTCTCCTTCTCTGTCCTCAAAGTTCTTTGAATTTACTTTGGTTGGCACTGATTCCATATCAGAAATGAACAAAGTGTTGTTGAGATACCTTCAAAATACCCTTAAAAGACAACTATTTGACCTTGCCTTGGAAAAGTTGAGCCCGCTCCGTTGAGTGTGGTCTGCATTTGTATCCTCTTGCCTGGGACATTTTAAGTTTAATGGCCACCTCTACACATCCTCAGATTACTCTTCTGCCTTCTCTTTCTCCTTTCTGGATCCCAGCTCACTACTGAGAGGCTGGAGCTGTCAGAATGTCGTCTCCACAGGAGACCTCTCATGACACCAAGAGCTGGGCTGGGTGCTCATTATATACTCACCACTGGTAGCTTCAACAGGAAGAAGCAAGTCTTCTTGATTTCCAGCCTGTGCAAAAGGAAGGGCATCCATACTTCCTTCCATATTAGCTGCAGTAGTGAAAAGGAGACTGGGTGACTTTAGAATGAAAGGGAAGGACCTCACCCCAGAGGGCAGAAGTCACATGAGAGTTAGGGGTGCCCTCTGAACTCAGCAGGAGGAGGTTCCACTAATTCTGAAAGGAATGCTTCTGTTGAAGAGTTGGCAGGTCTTTGCTACCTGGAATACTTGATGCAAACCTTGTTCTGACACTGCCATTTTCCCTTCCCACAGGCAATGTGAAGCATCCATCCAGCCGGCTGACATTTCCTGACTTACAGTATTGCCCTTTTCTGCAAATGCCAATTCCAAGTTCCATTTAATCAGAAGCTCCATGGCTCCTTGACACGTTCTGTTGAGCGCTGACTGTGTGTTCTACTGAAGGAGTAAAACACTTGACTATCCAAAGAGAAAAGGATATTTTGTTTTTATAATAACCATATATTATTGTTTTCTTCTTCCCTTTCTATGCAACTGTAAATTAATGAACAGAGAGATATTTGGAAATAGTAATACATTTGTCACTGATTTGTATAATGTATACAGCATTGGGAAAGTGGGTGGGGGCTTTCTAATATGATACTGTCTTTTTAATAACCATGACAAAATTTGCGTAAGAATTAGAAGACCACTTTACATTTTTACATTCCTTTTGCTGTCCATATTAACCTTGTACAATGACTTCATTTATTTCTTTGACTTTATTACATTATGTTTTGGTTATTTATAATTCATCTGCCACATGACCAAATAGATTTTGTGTATTTTTTCTATAATTTGGCCAAATTAGTGAGTTCATAGACTTAAATCAAATATTTTACATATATATACATATTTAGGTATATGTGTATATATATGTATGTGTATATATATGGATAAGGCAAAAGCTCTGAGTATACTATTGAACTTTATTTGACACCAGACACCTGCTTCTTCAGTAACCACTTGGATAACCACAATAAGAATCCTAAATGGCATGACCATTGGGATTTTTTCCCCTGCTCTTTATGCCTTTGTGTAAGTAAATCTTGATTTCTTTATTTATTTCATGTCCCAATCTATACAATAAGAGAAGACAGCATTATAATAATCTCAGAGAACATTTTACCAAAGGTTATCCATTGAAGCATGTTTTTATTTTGATACAGAAAACAGATGTTGGCACAACATTTTCTAGTCCTGGGGTCTTGATTTTCATCATTGAATACATAGCCAGCTATTAGCTATTGTGAGACCAGGACACATCGATGTTGTTAGTTCCCCTTGAAGAAAATTTTGTTGTTTTTTGTATTTTCCAGTCCTTTTACCATTCTTGAAACTCGTTTCTGAAAGCAGACCCAAGACCCAAGTTCAGTGCATGTCTTCTTTTACCTTTTGGGGGAATGAGCAGAAGTGTTACTACCCTTCACTTAATCAGTGCATTTGGGAAGGGTGCTTATCAAAAGCCTGTGTCACTACTTCCAAAGAATAATGAATGAAATGCTCAGTTGTACCCCTGCCTCTGCCTATGAGTGCATTCAGTTAGGTATTTGGTTCCTTTTTTTTTTTAACATTCAATTAGGTATTGGATTCCTTTTTAAAGAACATTTAATTGATTCATTGTAAACCTGTTACTTAATTCCAAATGTAGAGAAACCAAAAATAAAAATGAGAATAATATGTTTTGATTCAAGCATATGTGCTTTTAAAACATCAGGACATTTTAACTTTGGGTTCTCTTTAACTGGGATCTGGCCAGGAGGAGGCTTAAAGTTAGAAATTGCTATTCTTTTAGAATAGGTTGGGTGGGTTGGGGGGCAAGGGTCTATTTGCAGCATAGATATTTTGAGAAGAAGAAAAATGTTTTATATAAGAGGAAAGCCATGACCACCTTTCTACCTCAGATCCATCTTCCTCCATTGTGTTGGAAATAGCTTTATGCTGTGCAGTCTGCAAAGTCTAGAGCTTTTATCAGGCCATATCATACCCAAGAAAGCACCTATTTAAAGAAAAAATTAAATCCCCTTAACTCAGAACTCCAAGTTGTAGATTTGGTGTTTTCCTTGTTCTTGGAGAAGTCATATGTTAATTTTTTTGCCTGTATTTGTATGCAAAATGTTCTCTGTCTGCTATTACAGAAAAGCTACATAAAACACTACATTGTAACCTTCTAAGTAATAGTAAAAAGAAATATATTGCAGTAACAACAATGGGAAATAAGTATATTATTCTTTTGAAATATGTGGTAAAGAATAACTCATAGATTATCATCTAATCTGGTTACATGTTGTATTTTTCATCCTGAATAAAAGTAATTTTAACACAAAATGACTTTGATATTCACTTGTGTTCACTATCAGACTCTGACCCTTGAATGCACATTAATGAAAATAAACTATAGAGTGAGCCTATATGCTGATAAATCTGCATATTTTCTAGAAACTTCTCATATACTCCAGTTCACTCTCCTTTTTTTAAAAAAATCTTACTCTGTTGCCTCTTACATATATGTATAATTATGGCATTTTTAATTTCCTTTGTATATCAAAAGTTTATTGATAAGGAAAAATAATGTTGGATATAAAAATATATACATAAAGTTCTCTTGAACCTTCATTTTTATAACTAGATGCTATTAGCATTCAGTTGGCTACTCTCTCAAATCCTTAAGCTCATCTTTGTACTGGATTTTAACTACTCTAGTAGCAGAGTAATCAGTTTCTGAAGCCATCCAATAGGAAACTGTCAAGAATCGTGTTACTTGAGTCTAAAATTATAAATCTACTCTGAATTTTAAAAAATCCTTAAATATATGTTAAAATAAATAAAAACATGCATTATGATAGACTAATATTTTAAACATTTGCTCTACCACAAAGGAATAGTCATATTAAGAATTTCTAGGAAGCAATTGTCTTCAATAATTTATGGAACGGGTAGTTGGAATAAAAGTTTAAAAAATGAAAAAGTTTTGTTTCTATTAGCTTGTTATACATCACTGAAATTTACACACACACACACACACACACACCACACACACACATATGTGAATGTGGTTTGCTCTTGGATATCCCCCCACTCCAAACACATTCACTGTTTAGTAGACCAACTCTTTCAAAGGTCTTTCTTACTGAGAACAGAATGAAAATCTAATAAACACCATTAAACCTGTAAGGTATGAATAAGGATCTAGAAAAACAAACAAATGACAGTCTTCCCTTAGCTTGGCTTTGTACTTAGTTCAAAAAATACTTATATTTCTAGAAAAACATTATGTATTTTTCTAAAAACCATGTCTTCTAGATGGGCCATGTGTATCAGGCTCTGCTAAACCAGACATGAATATAAAAATTAACAAGAGACAGAAATGTCTGTGGTATCCAAAACATTATTTCCTGAGATCCTTTTTGTATGTTTGTTTCTTTGCTTAATTAATAACCAGAATTTCTGGTTTTTGCTAAAACCAGCCAAGCCATTAACTAATCAGAATGTGACTGCCTTGTAATGGAACTATAAATATCACTTTCTGTCTTCTGAAGGCTCTTTTTGTTTGAGGGTTTGAGGTAAAAACTCTCATTTTTTTTTTTTTTTTAGAAAGCAGTAATTTGTTCTAGATGGTCACAACTTGTTTGAAATATTTTTAAAAATCTATTCCTTTAATGTATTGAGCAAACACGAACTGATTATTACATTCACTTCTTAACATTCTATTGATAACAAAAAGAGGAGTCCTATGGAGCAGACACTGTAAATTTCCCTGTGAATGTGAACAGATCCTCATGAGATTAGTTACCCAGTATCAGTTCTCTTCAGGTTTATCACATATAGATCCATTTTTTTTTAAAGCAAAGTACTTAAGAGAAAATCCATGAAAAAGAGCACCAAAATAAAAGCTGCAATTGGCCCTGCCTCATGTAATCTCAATCAGTCTTTGTAGGGGTTAACACAGTTAGGTGCAGGAGTGGTGGTCTTTACATTTCTTTCCTTGGTAGCACTTGAAGTCACATTGAACACCCCCAGGGCATGTTGAATATGAATTTATACAAGCCATCCTAAGACTCTGTCATGTGTGCCTGCTGGTACCCCAACATACCACTAAAGTAATTTATTGAAAAAACAAAGTTGAGTTTATCATTTAAAGCAGTAAAAGAGAACACCATTTGGCAGAGTTGTTTTTTGTTTGTTTATTTTTGTATTTTCTTAGAGGGGAAAGGACTTGGTTAGGTTGCAAAGGGAGATGATACAAGGATTTAGGATCAGTAGGCACAGCAAGCTGAAGATTCTTACACAAGGGTTTTGATGAATCTCAGAGGAACATAATTGTTGGATACTATGTGTTTAGGAATTCATGTTTATATAAATTGGTTTTTCAGAAAGTTTCTGAAATGAATGATAAGGTTGTAATCAAGGCATAAAGATGAAGACAGAGGAATACCAAAGCTATGTTTGTAAAGACAATGGATTTGTGAAGTCATGACAATGCAGACAAAATGGTGTAGATGCTTTTGTTTCTCACTGGCTTCAGTCCTGCTGTTGGGCAGTCCATTAACATCTGGAAGCATGGTCATGGGACATCATGATTGAGTGTTATGTTTTGGGGCGGGGGTCCTTTCTAGTCTCATAGTGTTTTCCCATTTTTTTCTGTGGGATGATTGTGTGTTGGATCATTAGAGGGGCAGCAGCCTCACACAATATGTACAACCCTGGGATCACAGATCTGAGTGTTGCAACCCAGAAAAACACCAGGGAAAGAACTATGACCAGAGTCAGCCAGGAACTATCCAAAATAAACCAGATGAATAGGCTTGAACTTAGAAGGAGTTATTAAGTAAAAGCTCTGAATTAATCATATCTTGTTTTGAATCCTGGATCCCATAGTAATATACATAACAAAATGGTCAAGCTTGGAAAAAAGCACCCCATCCCCTTGAAATGTCAAGCAGTACTAATCAGAACCACTTCTTGCCCAGAATCATGAACCTCTCGAGCCAGGGACTCTATACCCTTGGTGGTATTATCTAACTCTTCTGCTAAATGTGACATGTAATATGGACGATTCTCTTTACTGTTCAAGTTTCTTTTTAAGTATGAAATAGAGAATCTTAAGGATAGAAGAAAGTAATCAAGAATTCACCTTAAAGAGGATTCTCAAGTCAAGGCCCAATTTTTATACTTCTTGATATATTACCTAAGAATCTCTTTATGAAGGAAAGTAAACTAATCAACCAAAATCTATTCTCTGCCCACACATAGTAACAAAAATAAAATACTTGTCATTGGAGGAATAACCAATGATTTGTTTTTGTCAAAATGCTGCTATGAGACAGTGTCAAACAGTTGTCAAACAAGTTTGAACCACTTTCATACCTGTCATCAACAGTAGGATGGCACCAGACAATGAAAACTATAAAATTAATATGAGATAGATCAAAAGCAAAGGCGAAGTTGTCTGTCTTACTTATAGGAGCTGTGAACATGAGAAAGCCTCCAAATATAGACTCCTGCTCCTAAATTCTATTTCTGTGAAAATTCTGGTACAAAACCTGCTCCCAGGAAAGGCCCTTGAATGTTGTCTCAGTTGACAGATGTAGGAACCAACTTTCCTAGAGATAGTGTGGCAAGGATTTAAGATTTCTAATGGCCTATCCTGTTGTGGACAGACCCCATTGTTGAGTTTTCTTCATTCTTTCTTTTTTTTTTCCCACCCACCCCCATTATTTCTTAGTTACTGATCTGGGAAACTCTGAAAAAGCAAAGTCTGATAAAGAATTTTACTTCCTGGGGATAACTCATGTTCCAGATAATGAACTTTGACACAATTGTAGCTTCTCTTTGGAAACCTTATGTCCTTTCTGAGCTAAAATAGTAAGCAGATAGATGGAATCAATATTGGAGCTAATCTTATCCTTAGAACACAGCTAAAGGTCATACACACCTTGGATAAGGATAGAATCACAGGGAAATTTAAGGTTCTTGAAGTCACAGTTGAGGACTTCTGAAAAGTGAGAGGGTATCGCAATAATCCCCTTGGCCATAACATTTCAGTATATTGTTGATTTTTCCAGGAGAAAGCAAATAAATACTATTTTAACTTAAAGGGAAATTAAAACAAGCAGAGCACAGATATACTCTTATAAAATTGAAGACTCAGGAGTCACCTGAAACAAAGTAGTACTTGAGTTTGATACTACAGAGAAGTAGAGAATAACTATACTGATGTCTTGAAAATATTCATACCCTGTCATCTGGATTTTTCCCCCTCTCTGCATTTTTAACAAGGATGAACTGAGCATTGGAAGGAGTGGATTCAGTTCCCCCAACATGCAACCTCTATCAATAGAATATTTGCCTACCGAAGTCTGGCACCTCTTTGGGATCTGCAATGTGTGCTTGATTGAGATACACAGACATTGGTAACTTGATGTTGAAATTAGCTATGTCATTATATACAAATAGGAAAAGCACTATGAGAATGTTTGATCTGACAATTCAATTTGCACCAGAAACAACTCCCTGTGAATTTAGTAAGTGTGTATGTTCATTAAGGAAGAGAATATTTATCTTGGCTGAAGACCCAAGGGGGACCATTTTGCCCTGGTACATGAAGAATGTCTAAAGATTATTCTAGATATCCACTACGGTGGTTCACTCTAAAAGTGAGGTTGCATAAAGAGAGATTTGGGGTAATGGCATAGCACCTGTATTAATAATAAAGAAAAATTGCCAGCTTTCCTTTTAATGTTTAGAGGGATTTCTTTTTGCCAATTTAAGAATAAAGCAGGAAATTTGGTACTTGATTCCCCTTGTAGCACCTTCACTGATCATTCACTTCATTTATTTTCCCCTGTAGAATTTTGGCTAACATGAGACAATTAATTTTCAAATGTCTTTCTGTTTACAGTTGAATTCTCATGTCTTCATTAAAAGACTCCACTCTCCTGAATAAAATGATTGTGATGTGAGCATCTAGATGATTTGGGGGCTCTTGTTTTTTCTGTAAAGTCATAAATTTATCCTGAGTGTTATTGTTTTGTTTTTTCAAAATGTTCAGTGAGATATTGGAAGGTTATTAAAAAGGACCACTTCTCATTCTTATTTTTGCTTTCATATTAATTTTTGTATTTCTAACTTAAGACTATTGATAAAAAGTGGGTATCACAGGGAAGGAAAAATTTTCCCTCTACACTTAGTTTTTATCTGGGGTCTCAGTTACAAAAGATAGATTAACAAGAGGAAAACAAACTGAAATACACACACACACACACACACAGAGAGAGAGAGAGAGAGAGAGAGAGAGAGAGAGAGAGAGAGACTTGTGTTAGCTTTTCATCACTGTCATCAAAATACCTAAGAACAATTTACTGGAGTGAAAGTTTATTTTTGGCTCATGGCTTCAGAGGTTCAGCTTATG